CTTAGCCAGGCACTTCACTCAGGTGGAGCAGATGGGGCAGGGTCCAAACTTAGCACGTCTCCTCTCCGTTAAATCTATTCATGTGTAGCCCTTGCTGAGAACGGCTGTGATGGCTAAATGAGATCTTGGAGAGAGCATCTTCCTCAGTCTCTTGGATCTATGACCTGGGACAAGATGCCTTACTGCTTTTGTCTGTCCCCATCTTCAAAATAAGGAAAACATAACATCTAGAAGGCATCCTTGCAGGGATTAAATGACACTCCAAATCTGTCGTGCAGAGACAGTCATGTCACAATCACTCGGGAGACGTTCATTTAATCGTCTCTTATTTCTGTTTTCCTTGCTGACTTCCCATCCCACTGTGGGCCTTGGGGACATTGTTTTTCAACTGCATGTCCTCACCCAGACCCTGCTACACAATGGGTGCTCAGGGATGGAAGTCTTGTAAAGTCATTTAATAAAAGGCTCCCATTCCTGGTAACAATTACAGCATTGTGCCGTCTTTCCCAGAAATTTAACAGTTGTAATTATTATGCCTTCTGTTGATCTTGCCATGTCTCTGATTCCCTGGACCTCAGCCAGGCCTGTACGTTTTGACATCTTTCTAGAATAGTCCTAGTTCCTGCCCTCTGGCCTCAGGCAGGGGCATTCCTTTTGTGGAGAGTCGCCTGGACAGCATCTCCATCTACTACCGGACACAGCGGGGTCTCACTCCAGTATTCCGCATCTCTGCTCTTCCCCGCATGCTTCCCTTGCAGCCCTAGCCCCCGACTCACCCCTCAGCCCCCCAGCTTTGCTAGGAGCACACAGAGGTCCCTTCATGAGTGAACAGGGAGCGAACAGATTAGCCCTGTAAGAAATGAGCTCAGTGACCTAGCAGATTGGGTTTTGTTTGTTTTCAAATATAGCTTGAAAGTCCGGCTCTAGAGGCAGACTGGAAATGAGCTCTGAAAACCTTTAGGGAGCTGCTGATAGGAATGACAAGGACATAATGCTGTCTGCAGAAAGCTCCCTCTGTGGGCACATGCCCACTTGTGCCAGTGATCGAATTAACACTGACCTCTGGGCCTGTCTGTGGGGATGGTCTTGAGAATTGATGTGGAGGACCCCGTTCATTGTGGGCAGCATTATGGCTGAAAATGTCGAGTCATTTCAAAGTCAAACGAAGGTGAGCTGCGCAGAGCCTTCTAAGGACGAACACATAGGGGCGGCAGAGCGTTTGAGCCTGGATGAGAACAGGAGGTACATTCTGTGGCCCCCAGAGGTTTCAGCTGTTACGGTTCATGACATCATGTGCCATTTTCACCATGGCTGTGTCAGTTCAAAGGCTGGAGTACACTCACCTTGCTGAGCAACATCCTCACCCTCCCTCCCCTGAGCCTTTTCCTCCATAAACAGAAACTCACGCTCTGCAAACACAGACGGCTGCCCTTCCTTCCCGGTCCCCGAGCCACAGCCTCCTCTCTCTGTCTGAATCCAGCTCTCCAGGGGCTTCCCACACATGGAGAACTGCACAGTGTCATGAAGGGAGCATTTTACTTGGCATGGTATCCATAGAGTTCCCCTGTGAGGTGGTATGTCAGTTTCCTTTCCAAAAATAAACAACACTTTGCTCGGCCGTTCCCGCACTCACTCATAGGCTCTTGGGCCACTCCTGCCTCATGGCTGTTGTGCACCATTCTGGATGAACACAGGTGTGCAGATGTCCCTGTAGCCCTGCTTACAGATAGGGAGTGGAAGTTCTGGGTCCCGTGGCAATTCCCTTTTGGATGTTTCATGGGTCTGCTCTCTTGTCCCAGGGGCCTCTTTTACATCCCCAGCAATGCTGTACAGGGGTTCCAACCCTCACATCCTCACCAACTTATTACGGAGCAGCTGCAGACAGCAGGAGGTGGGTTTTCTTCCTGGGAGTTGGAGATGCTCTCTAGGAAGACTCAGAAGAAATCCCAGAGCCAGCCCTTGGTTAACAATGAATTTGTTGTTTACTTGTGTTTGCTTCCTGTTGACTCAGTCAGTCTGGGCTGACAGAACAAAGCACCCATGCCTGAGGAGGCAAAGCCTACGGGCTCACCTTTCTGGAGAAAACCCGGACTGAGACACTGGCAGACCAGGCTGACTGAGGGCTGTTCTCCTCTCTAGAGATGGCAACTTGCAGCTGTGTTTTCTTCTGACTGGAGGAGCCTGGGAGCATCCACGAGCCTTGAGTGTAGGGCATTGTGCTGGTTAATGTTAACTTTCAACTTGATACAAGTTAGAGTCAACTGGGGAGAAACTCTTAATGAAAAATTGCCTGGATCAGATTGGCCTATGGACATGCCTGTGGGGTTATCTTGATTGTTAATTGATGAAGAAGACCCAGCCCATTGTGGGCAGCACCATCCCCTAGGCAGAAGGTCTGAATGGCATAACAATAAAGAAAGCTAGCTCAGAGCTAGCAAGGAAGTGAGATCCATGTATTTATTCTCACTTTGCTCTTGATGGTGGATGTCATGCTTTTAAATTACTTTCTCAACTTCCCCACAGTACTGGACCATAACCTGGACTTGTCAGTCAAACCAAACCTTGCTCCCTTGACTTGCTTTTAGTCAGAGGACTTTCCATAGCATCAGAAGTGAAGCTTGAGCAGGTGCTGATCTCTTGTAACTCTTGAGAGGTGCCTGCCTCCTGTGCCCTCCTTCCTCACAGCACTCTGACTCCCCCTTGAGGACAGTCTGCGGATATCTGTGGCTTGAGTCCTATTTAGCTCTGTGATAGGAGTGATACCATCCTCCATGGTCCTGCTCGGACTCATAGGCCCTTTGAGACAAGTGTTAAGGCATGATAGCAAACTCCAGCCAGCCAGCTAGGACCCACAAAGGACCTGTCCTGTCTGCTCTCAGTCCAGACCTGCCTCAGGTCAGGAGATGGGGAGTCTGTGCCTGGGACTGCAACCCAAGGGGAGCCACTCTCTCTGCCTTCCCTACAGGGAGTGTGCTGCACTGCTCAGAAGCTCTAGGAGGGCCTGGGCTGTGGCACAATGAAGAAGTATAGAACTCTCAGCTCCTTCAGCATCATGTCTGCCTACGTCCCTCCGTGCTCCCTGCCACGATGGCAATGAGCTACACCTCTGAACCTGTAAGCCAGCACCAATAAAATGTGTTCTTTTTATAAGTTGCCTTGGTCATGGTGTCTCTTCCCAGCAATAGAACAGTGACCTACACAGGGTATACATTTGTTTCATTTAACACTGATTTCCTCTGTCATCCCAGGTTTTTGACAAGAACCTAACTACCTTCTGGGAAATTATGAGAACCAGCCTCAGAGGTGGTAATAAATTATTGTATTATATATTATAAACAGAATTTTTTAATATGTCATGTTGTAGCATCATCTTGGGCCCATCTGTCAGAAGCCAAAGAAAAGGTGCCGTGGCAAGCGCAGACACAAAGACGGTAAAGCAGGAGGCACCGCAGACCTTCAAACCAGAGACCTGAGGCCTTCAAGGCATCCTACAGGCTTTGGTTCCTCAAGGCCTAAGGCCAGTCTCCATAGCCCGCCTGAGCCAGAACCTTTGCGTCCTGCCCAGCCATGTCAGGGCAGGTCCTGCTATGACCTCACCAGGAGCCATTGTGAGGGTTCTACCAGCAGGTGTGGCCTGTGGCCCCCCCTGGATTCTCTGGGTGAATTGAGAGGAGCTGTGGAGTTGTGCCCTGTGCGACTTTATTGTTTCTAGCAAGGTTGCGGGCAGCTCCCTGTTTTTGGTTGCTTAGTTTGTGTGTGTACTCGTGTGTCCTTATGTGTATAGGTTTTTGTGCAAGTATGTACTTGTTTGTTTGCTATTAGGTGTGACTGTACATATAGGTGTGCACCTATGTAGAAGTGTGAGGCCGGTTGTCTGCACATGTGTGTTCCGCTTGAGGACAGCGTTTAATTCCAGGTGTGGCATGTGACATGTGCTGCCCTCTCTGCTTTTTGAAGCAGAGTCTCTCATTGGCCTGAAGCTCACCAAGTAGGCTAGGCTAGCCAATGAAACTCAGGAATCTCCCCAGAGAGATTAAAAACTTGTGCTGTCCAGTTTGGGTTTTTATTACTTTTTTCAATGTTTTGTGTTTTAACATGGATCCTCGGGTAGAATCCAGAAGGTTTTCCTAGGAGTTGACGCCATCCTGTAGCGTCTGGTGGTAGTGTCCACTCCCCCTTCCTTCTTTGACGTACTTGATATTTGATTTTAGGAATGTATTTAATGGCTGTATCTGGAGAGTTTCTGTTTTTTTGTTTTGTTTTGTTTTAGTTTGAATGCTTACTGTTTTTCGTTTGTTTCTATTTCTTTTCTTTAATCTTTTTTTCTTTAAAAGAAAAATTATTAGCCAGGAGAGTTTCAGGACAGTTAGGGTTACACAGAGAAACCCTTCATGAACCCCGCCCCCATCAAAAGACTCCCAAAACAAAACAAAAATCCATTGTTTGCCATTGAGAATATTCTTGATCCATGTAATTCATACTTTATTTGGCTTTTATACAGTTTTAGCCTTCAGATTTTATGTTTGCTTTTTGGTTTGGTTTTTAGTTTTCAATTTTCTGGCTTGGGTTTATTTTGTTTCCGTTTTTGTTTTTAGTTTTGTGGTTATTTTGTATTTTATTTTTTTGATTTGTTATTTTGGTTCTTTGGGTGTTTGGAGTTTGGGTTTTAAATTTTTGCTTATTTTATATTTTCTGTTTGTATCCCTCTTTTTCCTTATTTCCTTTCAGGTTTGTTTCTTTTTCATCTGTTTTCAGTTAGCATTCCAGCATTCAAGCTGTGACCCTTTTAACTCACTGTCTTGGGAGCTGATCTTTTGGTTTGGGTTTTGACATTTGTTTTCGTGCTTTGGTTTCCTAATTTTGTGTTAAGTCTTTGGTTTTTACTTTTGCTTTTTGTTTTCATCTTGATTTACTTTTGACTTTTAATTTTTCATTCCTTATTTTACTTTATTCTCCTTTATTCCTTTTTCTTTGACGTCGTTCCTACAGACATGCCACCCATGGCGTCTAGTCAGCCAGAGAGAGAGACTGCAGGACTCAGCCGTGTGCCCGTCTTCTTCGGTGAAGAGATATTCACCAGTCAATACACCATCCTGAGAAAGTTAGGCCAGGGTTCCAACGCCAAGGTGATGCTGGCCCAGCACCGTCTCACGGGCGTCCCAGTAGCTGTGAAAGTGCTCGTGAGGGAGATGCCCTGGCGCCAGTCGGCTGTTTCAGAAGTGGACATTCTGATGACCATCAGCCACCCGAACATTGTCTCTCTCCTCCAAGTCATCGAAACAGAAAAGAATATCTACCTCATCATGGAGGTGGCTGAGGGACAACAGCTGTTCCACCACGTCTGTGAGGTCGGACACTTGCAGGAGAAGGAGGCCCGAGGACTATTTCACCAAATCATAGGTGCTGTGGGCTACTGCCATGACCACGGCATAGTCCACAGAGACCTGAAGCCTGATAATATCATTGTAGACCGCTCTGGAAAAGTGAAGATCATTGACTTTGGCCTGGGGGTCAAGGTCAGGCCTGGAAAACTGCTTAAGAGGCCTGGAGGAGCATTCCAGTTTGGTGCCCCTGAATTCTTCCTAGGGGTGCCATATGATGGCCCCAAAGCAGACATCTGGACCCTGGGGGTCCTCTTGTTCTTCATGGTAACTGGGACATTTCCATTTTCGGCACCCACCTTATCAGAGCTTTGGAAGCAGGTGGTTCAAGGGAGGTATGAGGTCCCAAACCAGCTTTCTGAAGAGCTACAGGGCCTAATCAGGTACTTACTAACTGTCAACCCCAGCCAGAGGCCAACGGTTAAAGAGATCGAAAGGCACTCATGGCTAAGGCATGAGAGCCCATCAGCTCACAACGAAGAGACAATCCCAAGCCTCCCAGACCCTGCAATCATGGCCGCCATGGCCAACATTGGCTTTGACATCCGAGATATAAGAGATGCCTTACTGCACAGGAGATTTGATGAGACAATGGCATCGTACTGCTTACTACACCACCAGGCATGCCAGGAGCATGGCTGCTCAGCCCAGCCCTATCTCAGGGACACAGAGGGGACACATTTCACCTCACCCACAGATCCTATCTCTTTCCCTTTGCCTCTGAGGAGGAGGGCCAGCGAACCTGCCCTTCAGACAATCTTACCTTCAGCAAAACACCAGAGGCTAGAGATTGTCCAACAGCCCAGACCAAGGGGCGACAGAAGTGCCACTGAGCAAAACAATCCTCTCTGCTTCTACTCTTGGCACGTTCTTGGCACCGCTCACCTGTGTGGCATTGGTGTTCCCCACATTTATTCACTGGCCAGCAGTCAGGGGAACACAGAAAACAAGAAGAAGGCCCTCCCCAATGAGCCAGACCACGGGGAGAGTGCAGCCTCAAGTCCCGGTCAGCAAAGTGACTGGAAGGCATGGGCAAGGAGGATTGGGAAGCATCTATGGAAGCTTTGCTGCTGCACAGAAGAAACCTCAGGGATGGCAGAGCAGGGTGTCACCCCAGAAATGAGGGAACAAAATGAATGACTGTCATAGAAAATTTAGGTATGCGCCCCAGGTCCATTTCTGTGTTCAGTTGTATCTCTGCTTTTATTAATTTCCTCGTCAATTGACAGATCCTAATTACAAGCATTTACACGGTCAAGTGTGTGGAAGGCTGGATCTAGACGCTGTGGGATGGTTCCATCAAGTCTGTCAATGCTGTAGGACATGTATGAGTCCCTTCCCCGTGCACCCTTGTATCATAAGTGGCCAGGCAGAGAAGGAGACCTCCATGATCCCAAAGTCATAGTGTTAGGACAGTCTTTGTCTGGACACCAAGAACTGTAGGATGGAGCCATAAAGGAACCTTAGATGCTCTCTGTGACCCCCATTCCCATCCAGAGGCCTGATTCAGCCAGGAGGCCAGCAGAAAGTGGGGGAGGCTTCTAGTGTAGGGTAGAGCAGTCATCTGGGACACCAGATAGCAGGGGTGGACAGGGACCTCACATCAGCAACAGATAAAAGACCCCAGCAGCCAGGAATTGGGGGGGGGAGACCCTGAATTAGGCTGTGGGGTCTTCCACCCTTTTCCAGCTTCCTCTGAAGGAAGGGGAGCAGACTAGTAACCCTGATTAAAATTCTCCCCCTTTTTGACCTTTTTACTTTCTCTCCCTGGATTTGACAGGCCTTCTTCTGATTGGTCTCTATTCCACACACCCAACAAAGTACACACATCTTAGTCTGCCCAGTCTGGCTCTCTGTGGGCTACAGCCTCTGTCTCTCAGGCCCCAGACTTCAAAGGACAGAAGAGACCATCAAGACTGTTGTCCATAAGACCTGGAAAGACAGAGTATCTAAGACTCGAAGCTTCCACTGTATGACAAAGAAGTTAATTCCTGCCTCAGCCTCTGAGAATCACTCCTGCCTTGGGGACTGACCCACCTTTCCTGCCCATGCCTGCCCTGTGAGCCTCGCTGCTGCTGAGACCTGCTCCTCACGGAAGATGCTCTGAATCTCAAGCCTGCCGTGACACCGGACCTCTCTTGGTCCCACTGCAGGGGAGGGTCTCAGAGCTACACAGTTGAGTTTCCACTTTCTGAACCAGCACTGCTGCACTGCAATCAAACCTTGTTTGTCCACACCCCGCCCCGTCTACACACTCCATTCTTGGAGGAAGGAAGGATAAGAAAGAACTCAAGGAGACTGAAAGTCTCACAGTCAGTAGGGCTCTTGTTAGGAGAGACCCCAGTCTGTGCGGGCTGCAGCTACAGAGACCCATGAGCGGGGACTCTAAGCATCAGGGACTCTTATTTGGAGAGATACTGCTTGGCAAGGAATCCAATCAGCAGGGACTCCATTCAGAGGAGATTCCAGTCAGCATAGATTCTAACCAAGAGTGATCCAAGTCAGCTGGGAGTCTAGTCAGTGGAGACTTCAATTGGCCAACACTCCTGTCAGGAAGATTCCACCAAGATCAAACTCCAAGCAGCGGGTATCAGATTCTTGCCAGAGCAGACCCCAGTCACCCGGGACCCTCCTCAGCAGGGATCCCTCAAAGATACTGGCCTTGCACAGGACCTTTTTTCAGTCTAGACCCGAAAGCCCTTTTAGAAACTACTGGACCCAGAAGCCCGTCTGCTCACATAGGGTCCTGCCGGACTTTTCTTCTTGGGACTCATCCGTGCCTGACTTTTCTGTGTGTGTTACAGGTAAGAAAGAGGGTAGCACACAGAGTTCATCTTAAATGTGATTCTCACGATTCTCGGACTAAAATTGATGCTGACAAAAGATGTTTTCTGCATCTTCCTCACACAAATGCGGCAGTCACTGTTTAAGGGATGGGTGGTCACAGCCTGAGGATGAGTGACTTCAAGGGCCCTTCAAAGTTCCACCCAAGAGCACCCCAGAAAGTGCTTCTGAAGGGACTGAGTCCTATGCTGCCTGCCGGGAAGAAATGCAGACCCAAGGAAGACATTCCAAGAATGATCTCAGGGGATCTCAAGAATGATCTCTTCTGGACGTTGTTTATACAGGGATTTTTGGTTCTCCCCAATAACATTTGATATTGTTCAGGTGGGCACGCATGTATGTGTGCATGCGTGTGCAGGGTAGGGTTTGATTCCAAGTGTCTTCTATCACTCTTACTCTTAGTTTAAGACTTCTTTATTGTGAAAATTTAGTTGTATGTATGTATTCATGTGTGTGCATATGGGAGTAGGGGTGAGCATGCACGTGTGGTGTGCACGTGTGTGTGGAGCATGCACGTGTGGTGTGCACTGTGTGTGTAGCATGCATGTGTGTGTGCACGTGTGTGTGCACGTGTGTGTGCACGTGTGTGGAGCATACATGTGTGTGTGGAACATGCACGTGTGGGTATGCACGTGTGTGTGGAGCATACATGTGTGTGTGGAGCATGCACGTGTGGGTGTGCACGTGTGTGTGGAGCATGCACGTGTGGGTGTGCATGTGTGTGTGGAACATGCACGTGTGGGTGTGCAGCATGCATGTGTGTGTGTGCATGTGTGTGTGCACGTGTGTGGAGCATACATGTGTGTGTGGAGCATGCACATGTGGGTGTGCATGTGTGGGTGTGCACGTGTGTGTGGAGCATGCACGTGTGTGTGGAACATGCACGTGTGGGTGTGCAGCATGCATGTGTGGGTGTGCATGTGTGTGTGTACGTGTGTGGAGCATGCAAGTGTGTGTATGTGGAGTTCAGTCAAGTTTAAGTCAAATGTCTTCTCTCGCTCCTCCACTAGTTTTGCATTAAGTGTCTCTTGCTAAGCCTGTGCTCACTGAGTAGGCAAGGTTAGTGAGACAGCAAGTTCCCAGAGTCTTCCTGGGTCCCTTTCCTGGTCCTGTGACTATAGGCATGGGAACACCATGCCTGGGTTATTTTTTTACAGGGATGCTGGAGGTGCAGCTCAGGTTCTCATGCTGTGTGGCAGATACTTTACCGACATTGCTGTATCTCTATACCCATGACCCCAAGGCTTAGTGACTATTCTACAGCTGCCAAGAGACACCTTGACCAAGGCAACTACTGTAGAAGAAACATTCGATTGGGTGCTTGCTTACAGTCTCAGTGGCTTAGTTCCTCACCATCACAGCGGGGAGCATGGTGGCAGGCTTGGCGCTAGAGAAGTGTTGAGAGCTCCACCCTGATCCTCAGGCAGCAGGAGGAGAGAGACACTGGATCCGCCCAGGTGTTTTGGAGCCTCAAAGGCTACCCCCCAGTGACACACTTCCTTTAACACCTGTCAATCCGTCTAAGCCTGTCAAAGAGTTCCATTCCCTCAGGGCAAAGCATTCAAATGAGCCAATGGAGGCCACTCTTAATCAGACCACCACACCCCATAATCTTATAGTATCCTTGACTGCAAACACCACCTGATGAGGCCAGCTTGCCGCTACTGATGTGACCTGTGCTGCCTGAGCCCAAGAGGTCTTCACCACTGTGGCTTTGTGTCCTTAGAAGAACACAGCAAAGTGAATCCAGGAGAGACAATGCCCATTCAAACACCCCCCACTGCCTCCCTGTCTATCATCCCTCCTCTTCTTACATCTGATGGGTGGGTTCTTGTTGATTCCTGAGGCGTCTTCAAGCTGTCTGGATGCAACTCCTCTGGTTTCTTTTCAATGGGGTTCATATCTCACACACAATCAAATGAAAAGTCCGCCTTACAAAAATGAGCCCTGCAAGACAAAACCAATCCCCAGGTAGCCTTGGGGTAGCACTAAGGAGAAGCGTTGACTTGTAGCCAAAAGAATAACATCTACCTCAAGGTGGAGACATAAGACACAAGGCCAGCCTGTATGGGGAAAGACATTCTGTCTCAACAAAGCCAAGGAAACTTCCCCGCAACCTCCCTAAAGTATTTATTAAGCAGGTGTTTTAAAGGTGGTATCTAAACTCCCTACACAAAGAACAACCTGTGTTCACACCCTCGGTTTCTACGCAGCCAATCACACTCTGATCAACACCTTCTCCTGGGCAGGTCTAGGGTAGGTTTAGGATTCTCAGCCTCTCCAGTACAGACCATCAGAGCACAGACTCCAAGTTCTGCTCAGAACTCAGGGCCAGCAGTCGCCTGTCCAGGCTGTAGAAGGAACCAGAAGCAAAAGTTGGCCTGGCCTGCAGTGTTCCCTTGGGGCTCCGTCTGGTGCAGTACCCTTCTTCTGAGAGAGCTATCAAAGGGGACAGGCTGGGAAAGGCTCTAATTACCAGCGGATCTGAGCAGGAAAGTGTTGCAGCCTTGGATTTACCGCCCTCTAGAGTCAGATTTTAACAACTGCATACAGATAGCACATGCAGGGAGGCCTGGTGACCTAGTACCCAGAGAGAGATCGACTTGGGGATAAGGACCCCACTCTCCTGGAACAGGGAGGGGGCACGTGGAGTGAGTCACACCTTGCATTAGGGGATGGGGTGGGAGATGCCTTCCAGATGCTGATTTCTCAGAAGCCTGCTAGCCATATTTGGGCAGCCTGTCCTGAACTCCAGTAGCAGCTGAGGCTCAGATATGGGCCACGGGAGAACAACTCGCATGAACTTAGCTTTGACCCTGTGTCATGTGGTAGCCAGGGGAGGTTCTGTTTGAAAAGGGGTTAGGGACTATTTGTGCTTGGGAGCTGGGGCTGTTCTGAGAGAAAACGCATTGTCTCATTTCTTCCTTTGAGACAAACTCTCACTGCATAGCCCAGGCTGGCTGGAAAGGCGAGGTCCTCCGCAGCCACG